TAAAAAAAAGAATTTGTTTATGCAAATCATTATAAGTATGCTATAAAGATTTAATAAATAATATCTATTAAGCGGTTTTCAGTATTTTATTACCAATTTTTAATAAAGAATTATTTAAAATAGATTTAATAAAAACCTCTATAAATTATGTTAACATCAATAATACCTGTATTAATTTTATTTAAAGTTAAATATATCACGGGTCAACAGTTTACATGGAGCTTTGAAAAAATATTAAGGAAAGTATTTCAATTAAAAACAGATTATTGCTTGATAATGCAGAAGTGCCTCATACTTCTTATGAATAATATAAAATATTTAAAAAATGATATATAACAAAAATGTAATACACACACAAACAAAGGTCAAAGATATAAAAAATTATTTCAATTTAGTTTTTAAATTATATTAAACATTAATAAAGAGCATTTAGTTAGACTGGTCCAATACATATAATAAAATATTTTGAAAAATTTTTTTGAGAAATTAAATTTCAAATATATATAATTATTTCCATCTTAAGTGTGGAAAATGACTTTTTTTACAATCCGGCCGAATAGTTGAACTATTACATCCAACCGGACGGCCAAATTTATGAAAAAAGCGGCCAAATACCGGATAATTGCCGGATATCCGTTGCATCCCTATTCATCGTTTTCTTTTGTAAAATTAATCAATGTCAGAATCAGTATTGTTGGTTTTAAAATTAAAATTTGTTGTTAAATATTTGCTTCGAAATGCAATATGAATTTATAATAGTAGAATGAAACATGACGAATTATTATTAAAAAATTATACATATACAATTATATATGTATGTAATTTGTTCTTTGTGTAAAAATACACAGCCATGGTTAATTTTGGAATGCCTTTTTTATTGATATATTACAACAATTAGCATGCAAGGGTTACACTGACTTAAAAATTTTACACTTTTTTATGCTTATCCGCGTCTCAGCATTAATTATACCAGAATTAGAACCGGTGGTACTTTGAAGAATTTCAGAAAACTCTGAACTGTATAAGATACTTTGCCATGTTCCGAACGATATCGTTGAAATTCTCGAAAGAATTAAAATGCTTTTAACATATTTGATTATCGTGAGAAATTGTTCAAACAGTCTAGATTTTTCATCAAGGTATATCGATTTAATATGAATGAAAAATAATTTACATTATCAATGATCTGAAGTAAACTGATCTTCCACTTTTATACGAAAATCTTTATCAAAATATTGAGAATAATTATCTTTTTTATAAATTTTATGTAGATTTATATAATGCAATTAATACATTATTCATGAATGTCTCAGCCCAGTCAACATCAACTAAAAGTAACATATAACATTAATGTTATATGTAATTTCGAACTCGGTAATGTATCCGTTACGTTATACCTTGTGTTATATTACATTTATATTGTTGAGTGCGAAATTATAATAGTGATGTTATTTTACTTTTAGTTTATGTCGACTGGAAGGCTATGAGACTTAATTATTAACGAAGTTATTCTTATTTTGACTTTATCTATTACGCATACGGATAAAAGTGTGTATTACCTGCTTTAAGAATATCTTTCACGTGTTTAATAATTTTGATAATTCTTATTTCAATTACTTGTGCCTCTTTGCTTTTTCGATTTCATCACGGATCGAAACAGCACATTTGCAAGAAACATCGATCATTTAGTAGTGTTTCTTATTGAGTTATACCACTTATACCTCGATCACAGTTCGATTATATTTACTTCGTTAAATATGATTATTTACATGTTCGTACATACATTCCGCTACAGAGCAATAACTGTAGATACAGCTTAATTCTACTATGTAAAACCACGGTTTTGCAAACATGTAAGCCGTTTCAACGAGGGGTTAGAAAATTATGAAAGACATTGACGTATCTCGGTCATTTGATACACTAAATTTACATATTCCTGGTAGAAAAATACCAGACGACTTTAAGAGACGCGCCATAATTGTTATATCTATCGATATTGAATTGTTAATTTACATATCAACAATATGTATATTGCAAAGGATTGTATTTTTCTTATTATACTACCGTTCGATACTATTTTCTACGTTTGAAAACAATGAGACAGATCCTGTGTTTTGATCATAACATTTATCTATCAATCATATTCAAACAATCCTTAGTATACAGCATGTCTTATAATTCGACATCAATTTTAATAATAAACTTCTTTCTTAACTAATTTGAAGAGGTACAGTTTTATGAATTAGATATGGAGGCACCATTTTCAAATTATATAAAAATTTCTTTATAAATTAAGTTTACTATTCATTTAAACACAGATGAATCATTTCTTCAAAATTTTGATTTAGATTTAGTTATCAAATTAAATGTTAATTATTTATTGTTAAATATTAAAGCATTGTAATAAACAATTTCATAATATTAATTTCTCAATTCTTTAAAGTCAATTGCGATACTTTTAATAATTTCTTCTATATAATTGAAAGTACTCGCGAGAGCATCTTTCAAATTTTCAGAATTTTTTTGTTGTAATTTTTTTGCATTTTCATTGATTCGTTATTTGTTTATGCTTATCGGAACATTGTGCTTCAATTTTATCTGAAATTGCGTAAAAGTCTTTATTTCAAAAATTTTCTATTGTTTAATGATTTCATCTGAATAAACTCACTCTAGCATTGCGCACGCTTTCCTCATTATTCTTGTAATTATTTATTTATGAAAATTTATATAAAAATTTGGAGCGATTTCTTTATTCGTGGATTCTCGTTTTCTCTCCGTGAACATCTCATTATAAACAATAAATGATAAAGTTTTCTCCTCAATTTTCTTCAAACAATTCTTAAGAAATATTCATTCTCAGAGAAATCTGACAAAATAAAAATTGGGCAGTATGTTATGTTTCCTTGACAAAAATAAATTAATTAAATCTAAAATCTTGAGAGACTATTTTATCGATTTCAAAACGGAGATAACTATTACCTTAAAATGCAATATGTTTTTCTCAAATCTACGCGCAGCTATATTAGAAGTGAAAATTTCAACATGAATTTTTCGAGATTGCGGTCACGTAATTATTTAATGTGAAACGATGATATTTTATTGAATGATTTTGACGTGAGTTGAAAAGTGGAAAGTTAAAAAGTTAGCAAAAGTTCACCAACACTGGGCACTTGACGAAATAAAAATGATCTCGCGCTTTTCTCGACAGATAAATCGTTAATATATGTATATAATTAACGTTGTACGAAGTCGCTGCGGGATATAAAAATATATTACACGCGCGGTTGGGCCGTCAGTTTAAGAATAACTGTTACTTGACGTCGTTAGACTGTAGTATTTCGTCAAAATTTCATGATTTCTCTTTTTATTAGACAATCCGAGAATATCGAGAATTCGAGCTTCTATGATTTCAAATTTTTCTATGATTTGTCATCGCCTAAATGTTTAACGAAGAAGTACGGAATAGGCCGCAGTTTCGCGTGTACGAACGGCAAATGCGTTAACAACAGATTAGAGACCTGAGATTTGTAAATATTCAGTTCCTATATATGTTTCATAGTTGGTTTCAAGAAGAGTCTTAAAGATACTTTCGATGATACTAATACCAGATGAGACCCATATTAATCCATTCGTTACTATTTTTAATCTTTAATATTATATTAGATATGAGAGAGAGAGAGAGAGGGGGAAGGGAGAGGGGGGTGAGAGCAAGAATGAGAAACTACTTGTATACAGGGTGATCCGAAATTCCAGCATTCGGAGTACAGGACATGATACTTTATGCTAAAAGAAACAATTTTTACAAAATTGCGTCTGACAAGTAGTTTTTGCAGGAGAGCAAGTTGAAGTTATACGAGTAAACGCAAAAATTATTTATCGAATGTGATTTTACTACGGGAAAAAGTTGTTTGTTTTAGCATAAAATATCATATCCTGTACTCCGAATGCAGGAATTTCGGATCACCCTGTCTATTGTTTTTTTACAAATAGTTTGTTCTGAGGAAAGATGAAAAATACAAAATAGAATTCTGCAAAAATTCATTTTGTAAAAACTATACTTGCATTAGAATTTTCTATTCAATATATACATATAATAAAAAGATATAATTTAAAAAAGGTCCCATGCAATGAATACACAAGAAACTGCTTTTGACATCGATCCAAAAATGTCTCATGTTATTTTCTAGATCAATTGATTCTTATCTCTTACTTTATTTCATTTTATAAAAAACAAATGTATTTTTTTTAGTCGAAGTACATAATTATATGTGATAGCTCTGAAAAACATAAATGTAATATATAATGTCGGATAATTAAATTCATTGTAACGGATGAATTAATATCAAAATTTTTCTTGAATCTCTTATGGATCTCATGTGAAAGTTATTGAATCTTTCTTATGGCTAGGAAACTACATCAAATCGATCGAATCTTTAAAAAGGATATGAATCAATGTTTCTAAAGTATAAGAGAATGAATAATGCACATGTAAATATAAAGGGTAAATATACGTGAGAAACAAAAATATAGAATAAATAAGTATTAAGTAGGACATAATTTAATCACATTATAAAAGATATTTTCTCTTTGTTATCTAATATAATTTATTGGCTCGTATCCTTTTTAAAATGTCTCTTTTATATCGGTTCTCAAATGTATACACGTCGAAGAGGTTATAGTATTCTGCTTTCGTACGAGAAAATTGTGCCATATAAATGCATGAATCTTGTGTAAAGAGTATGTGTATATATAAATACAATTACGGCTAATATATTCCTCACAGATCTTTCATCGTCAAAACATCGCCAATCTTCGTAAATATTCATTAAGTATGCATATATATATAAGATTTACCGTATGTTTTACCGCGCACTTTAGACTAGCTGCGTGAATGCTTTGGTAAATTTAAAATAAATAAAATTCCATATATATGTATATATATATATATATATATATAATACATATACTATATGTGTTAAAATGAAGTGCACTTGATTAAGAGCTGAGAACAAATGCGCCGTTTGAGACACTTTGTATTCTAATAACACTGTTTTCTACCGTACAAGATTCATTTTGAATCGCGCTACATATATTCCTCTGATTTTATCATCAGAGATTTGACACATCAACAAACGTCCGAACGAGTTAGTCTGAAACGTATTTACAGGCGAACGTTGTATATTTCCCGTACAAAAACCTCTTTGGTATGGTTAATCATGTTTGCATTTCAACGAATCTTATACCTTATATGTCCGGTTTATTACCGCCTATGCGCTACGTCAAAATTTGTCGGATAATAATTATTTGTCATCAATGTGGCAAATGTTACACCCTCGTTACCTTTGCGCGAAAGGCAAAGTGAGATGCTGATAAAAAAATGATTGTCTCGTTACAAAACGCAATTCGTACGTGATCTCGTGTTTTTTTTTATTTATGTGTTAAGTTTTAAGTCGTTGAGCATGTTTCATAACGTGACGTTGTATTCGAAGACAATTGCGATCGATCGACAATCATCGCTGAATCCTTACGTGATCTTCTCACATTTGCGAAGAAACATTGTTAACAATCCAACACCATCGATTCCCTTACTTCGCAAACGTCGTCGTTATTTTCTCGGGATGGCCTGAGTGTTATAATCCTCAAAAATCTCTTCGGCTCTTCACACTTCGTCATCTTCTATATACAAGGTCGTTTCATATTTCTTATTACGCTTGATTTGCTCTGAATCGTGTGACGCTTCCTCAACTATCGTCTGCGAATCCATGTCGTCGGCGATAATTATGGGAGTTTGTCCTCGTAACGTCGTATCGGTCCTCTCGCTCGTCGATCTGCGCGATTCGGTTTTCCCATTTTCTTCGAGATCGTCTCCCGAGCTTTCTACGTCGATCTCCGTGACGTTCTCCAATTCCGGTTCTTCGAGCAGCATGTCACCCTCCGTAGGTCCGTCAGACAAAGCGCTGGCATTCGCTTCCTCGATGTCTACAACGTGACTCTCATCAGAATTGTCGCCACGGCTTTCCTCGGTGTCGAGGGACACTGTCGTAAAGTATTTTGGCTCGCAATCGGATCCGGAACTCATAATGGCTTGAGTGTTCAGGGAATGTCGACTCGACTGTGGATCCTTCGAATGCCTGTCGAAAGATCGCCGTCTATTGTCGTCCGATCTGGAATGATGTAGTTTAGGATGACGCGATTGCCTTCGCAAATTCTCCCCGCTGCTCGTTCGTGACTTCATTTCTGTCTCGTCAAACATGTATCGGGTACAATCGACGCTGAATCTATCTACCGAGAGTTTCCTGTAAATTCGGTGAGAAGAAACATTTCGTCGCTTGTCTTTTGACAAATAAAAAAGGCGTTTGTGTGATTAGGCATTGTAATATAAGACGTCTTATAATATATAGAGTCAATCGGGGTAACTGTGACGGCGGGGTAATTGCGACAATGCTTAATTTTAGGTATAAAAATTCAAAAAGACTTTATATTTTAATACATAAAACTAAGCATTGTCGCAATTATCCCGCCGTCACAGTTACCCCGATTAACTCTAATCTTACATTAACTCTACATTATCAACTCTACATTAACATTTTACATTACCCCGATTAACTCTAAACAAATGAAGTCTCATATTAAATTACCGATCTATATCTTAAAAAAATCTTAAAAAATATTTATAGATAATTTTTGTATTTAAAATAAATTATTTATAAATAAGTTTTTTCTAAAATAAGTTTTCATTTTATTATTAAATATCATTAATTTATAAAATCGCAATAAGTTTAAACCCGTGATTGTAGAACGTAGCCATCCGGCAAATAATAGATATGTACATGAAAGATATGAAAAAGATAAACATTAAATAAATACTAATAAATAAATAAAATAAAATATAAAAATAAAAAAAAACGTTACAAAATTTGATCTGAAAATTTTTGCTTATACCTATAGTCTCCTCTTCGAAAATCTGGGCTTCTTCGAAACTCGAAGCTAGCTTTTCGATATCCCATCGTTCTGTCGAAGCGACGATCACCCCCGATTCTGTCGAAGGACATTTTACGGAAATTTGGCGAGGATATTTTGCGGAAGTCTCGTGGCGAGGCCTTACTAAATTCTTTCGTTACCACCGTCAATTCTTCCAATAATCTCAGGTCTATCGAATTTCTTTTTCTTGGCACAAAGTCGTCTGGATATCTGCAATAGGCACCTGATCGAGATGTTCATGATTATTGATATTAAAACATGTAGACATTGTTTAACGCTTATCCGGGCAACCTCCTTATCTGGTATAAACGGAAGGCAATCTTCTTGGTCCACGAAAGTTATAAGATCCGGACTCCGGTTGCTCGAATAAAGTTTAGTATGCATTACAGTGCATTTCGTGCATGAATTTGATTTTCGTAGTTTCGTAGTTTTTGAACTAAATGATAGCTACTTTTGGATATTTTTAAAATGTCTTACATATCTGTTAGTGATGATCACAGTGATGATCTTACATATCTGAGTGATCACATGTTTTAAATCATTTATTTAATAGCCACCTGGCAATTTAGGCGAGTGCACGAGAGTCGGTGGTGGTCGCACAGCTTCATCGACTTCCTCGACGTCTTCCACTTTTGTTTGACGAAGCAGCTGATGTCGTCTCGCTGTGTCGGATCGGTCCTTCACTTTGAGCGTAACAGGACCTTTGTTCGGAATATGCAGATCCATCGCCATTGAGACTTGACTACCACTCATCTTTTGATGCTCCAGACTTTCTCTGCTGATCTGTTAGTTATAGAAAAAGGTCATTTCCAATTACAGTTATTGAGATAAAGGAAACTACTAGAATTTAGTTAAGTGTCTTCTGATTGCTTAACATATCTTAACACAAACGTAAACAGGAATGTACAAAGTGTAGCATTGTGCATGACTCAATTGAAATAGAATATGTACGCCTTGTGCATGGTTTCGGATAAAGTTAGATTAAAGAATATGTAGTTTTTTCACTTGTATTGAATGAAAAAAACAAAAACGCCAGTCACCTAATATCCTCCAACTTCATTTATAGTTGTCGTGATCAGTAACATGAAATTGTTACTGGGAAAACACATACAAGAGATCCGTTCTTTTTATATATCTCAAGACTGAACTTTTTGCATTATTCAACTTTTGTCTTTTTTTCCAATGTAAAAAGAAAAAGAAGAAAGATGAACCGTGCTAGAAGTTTAATCCTGGATTACGGAAAAAGAACAGGCTTAACACAATCGACTATAATAGTAGCCCTCGAACTGAATACAGATGTGTAGTATTAAGTCTTGTCTCTTCAGGAGAAAAGAAGAAGAAAGATTAACTGGTGCAAAAGTTCAGCCAAAAAGAACAGGCCTCTTGTGTCGACGATTGTGGCAAGTGAAACTTATGTCGTAGCATGCACGAAAGTGTAGTGATTTTATAATTGGAAAGCATCCTACAAAATATATTATAATAAGTATTTATTTCCTTTCGCTTAATTAAAAAATGATATAAAAAATATTAACCTAATAAATGCCAACTAAAAGTAACATAACATCAATGTAATTTCACATTCAACAATATAAATATAATATAACATGGGTTATATAACAGTTACATTGTTGAGTGTGAATTGTTAATACTTATTGGAAAGTTAATTAATTAGTTTTCACAATAAATTTTTTGCAGTGTTTTAATATGCTTAATATTAAATTGATGATTAATGTAATTTATGATATTATTTCCAACTTCAGTTTATGATTGCGTTTCAAATCTAACAAACCAAATCGGCGCGTAGTTTATAAAATAAAAAAATGTATTTGCAAATTTTATATCAAGTACCAAGATCCGTTTTGAAAATAGGATTTCTTCTTCTATTTGACTGATTTATTCTTATCGGTCTCGCTTATAATTAATTAATTGAGTTAGTCGCGAAAAATTGTGTAGATCTATACATTTTTCCTATAAATAGCTAAAGATCTCTTATATATAAATATTTTTCTTTCGTAAAACGTTTATTTTTCTATCTTGATTACCTGCGGACTGTAGCTTGGATTGTCGACCGAAAGAGCGTGTCTCTGTAGCAACTCTGGATTAAGTAGCGAACAACCAGCGTATTTAGGCGATCTTCGACGCGGTGACTTCTTGTCAATTAACGTTGGTGCGCTCGGGCTCTTCTTTATGGAGTGCGCTATGCCTTTCTCTCGTAGATCCTTTGAGAACTGCATAAACTCCGCCGTCAGCTGTTTCCTGGAGACTTCGTGCGTACTGGGACTCGGGCTGCGGTTCACCCTAAACAAGCCCAGCTGATGGTCCCATTTTGTTGTCTGGCTCGATGTCGACCTTCTGTTGCGTTGGCTTTTCGAACTCCTTACTGTTGATGCCTGGTTGTATCGATAGCGAGCTGGAACCACCTTAGCCGCGCTGTCGCGCGCTTCGAAAGTCATCACACAGGCAGCTACCACAATGAAGCCTGGAAATATCATTATTTGTATATCTAATATACAGGGTGTTCAACGTAACGGTCCGCGATTTCTCAGACACTTCCGACAGTTAAAAAAAAAGTTAAAAGGTGAATATTTATCTGTTTTATACAGGCTACAAACATGCGATAAAAAAACTAAAAAAAATTTTTTTTTCATAAAAAAATCAGTGTCATCTTAAATTTTTAAAAGTAACATTTCGATAGTGATTTGAATTCGTCTTAAAAACTCTTACAATATTATGAAAAAATTGTACGATGCTATTTAAAAAATTTAAGATGATTTTGATTTCCTTATGAAAAAAAATTTTTTTATCGGATGTTGTAGCCTGTATAAAACAGTTGAATACTCACTTTTTAATCTTTTTTTTAACTGTTGGAAGTGTCTGAAAAATCGTGCGGATCGTTACGCTGAACACCCTGTATAATATAACAGAACGTTGAATTTTATATTATGATGTATATTTAGATATTATTATTGAATCCTATATTTCGCAGTCGTTAATAATTGAACGTGTGTTAATGTCAATGAAAGCTCTTGATCAAAGTATATAATAATGTTCTGTATGATTAAATAATTAAATTATTCAATAATTCAAAGTAGAATAACAGTATAATGTAACATACGAGATTTAATTTCGTTGCAGTAACAATTATTTTTTAACTGCAACGAGTGATTTTTATGTAACTTAATTATTTAATTTAATTATTGTGAAATTATCTCCATTTTTCAAAATTGTTAAAACTTGATATTGTTTAGGAATGAGAAAAGTACAAATTAGAATATTTAAAAAATATGATTTTTTAAATACAAACGTAATTAAATGTATGTGGAAAAGATAAAATATACGTGCAGCGCTTGTATCTGAGACTTCGCCGATAACCGAGCGTGAGCCTCTATAGCTCAGGGGTAGAGCACTGGTCTTGTAAACCAGGGGTCGAGAGTTCAAATCTCTCTGGGGGCAATCGTTATTTTTTTTTTGCAGTTTTTATCAAGTATTCTTGTTCGTGCAGTGCTGTAGTGTATTGCGCATTTTTCGCGTTTCGCCTGCAATTTTTTGCCCTACATCCGTTATATTATTTGATGCTTTTATTTTGTAGATATTTCGATCTCTCTCTCTCTCTCTCTCTCGTATCTCCCCGTGCAAAACTACATATCTCCGCAATTTTTTTTTATAACACTATCTTTGTTCATACACATGTATTAATATGATTTATTCGTATATCAATATAACTAAAAACATGAAAGATGCATTTATGAAATTAATATCTTTGTCATAGTATATTGTATACATGTTCAATATATTGATCTTGTACACATCTATACAGGGTGATTCATTTTAATCTTGACAGGCAAATATTTTGAAAATATGAAATTTTACCAAAAAACATTCCAAATACAAGTTGTATGATTGGAGGGGGACGTTATCATTGTACGTCCCTCTCTAATACGTCCCTTTCCAATCATACAACTTGTATTTGGAATGTTTTTTGGTAAAATTGCATAATTTCGAAATATTTGCTTGTAAAGATAAAAAATGAAGTATCTTATATTTACATACATTACAAAACTTTAAGTACCTCGGTGAAAAAAATTGTAAAGAAGTTTTTAAAAATGCATTTTAAAAAAGAAAAATAGGACTTTAAATTGGCGTTTGAATTTTCTCTTTATGTGATATTTTGTTTACTGATTTATACAAAATTGAAAAATGATATTTTTTTTCAATATTTAGTTATTTTTTTAAGTGTTGTACAATATATATACATATAAAGAGAATTATAGTGTAAATCTTGGTTTAGAGAAAATATTAATCTTGTTTTAAAAAAATCTATAAAAAATCGAGGAAAGTTCAATTTTCACATTCTTATTATATCATGTTATGTAACGATTGCATCAGTATATAACGTTATAACATTACGTGCTATTATATGTACACGATCCCGGAGTTTATGTACATTTTGCGACAGTGCACCTATCTATCATCGTGCAGTTACCGTTTCAAGGAGATCAGTGTCGTGTAACTCGCTCGGTCAAACAAGTGTATTGCGCTCGTAAATTGTGCAATGTGTGTTACTATTACCTCCCAGACCCATAACTACAGGGCCAGCGTAGCTCAGATTATTCAGGTGAAACCCTCGCGACTCGTTCTTCACTTTTACCGTGATATTACCTCTGATCTCTTGCGCCACCGACAGCTGATCTGCATAATATCCTATTAAAGGAAACAAGAGAAACGTATTTATCCTCCATATATATATATTATACATATATATTATACAATGATAGGACATAACGGAATGAGAAAAAATAGCAGTAAGTTACATATTTAAATGTTATATAATATGATACTTTATGTTTAACACGTTAAAAACTGTAGATTACGCAATTAAAAAATTGTAAATTTAAATTGAAAACTAAATTTACATGTAAATTAAAAATTTAAATTAAAATTCAGAAAATTAATTTAGTGAGTTTAAATTTAAGTTAACATTTAAGTGAGTTTCAATGTAAAACAACTGTTTTACATTGAAGCGAGTTGTCTTACGTATTAAGAGAGAAAATATTCTCGAAGCAAACTTTGTTCATCGTTCCGTTATGTCACATTTTTGCCTACTTCTTTTTAATATAATAAATATCTGATGGAGATATTTTTTATATTTAAAAGAATAGCTAAATTTTCTGCAATATTTCGTATTAAATTTGGATGTTGTGAGTTTTTCGATATTTCATTTAATTAAAACCTAAAAATGACTATTTGTGTTGATTGTTGATATACAGTGGAATTATTTTTAAAAATACAATAAATTTGAAATTTAAATTTTGTTTCATGCACGTAGGCATAAGCAGATTGCAAGCTTGCGCGTAAAAAAGATCTCTCTTTGTAGTTCACATGTAAACATGTGTGATACCTTTTTAATTGTTTATATTAGAATGTATACACACAAGTTGTTCCAATTATTTTTTCGTTATCGTGAATAATAACCCATTAAATAAAAAAATTCTTTAACATTCTTTAAATATGAGGCACTAAGGACGATTCACGGAGAAAATTGATGTCATATTAACAGTATTATAAATCAACAGCAATCTAATTGAAAATAACCTTGTTAATTTAATAACAGTATTAATGAAATAAATACACCATATTTTGTTGTTTTAATAAAATATTTGTTTTATTAATACCGTTTTAGATATAATATTTATTTCGTTAATATCTTTATGAAATAAACAAGATTATTTTCAATTAAAATGCTGTTGAGCAATGCTGTTAATATAACATGTTTTTTTTCCATATGTAGAAATTATGAATAATTATATAAACTACAAAGAATTGATCTGTAAGGGGGGAAGGGGGATTGATCTTTCCAAAGTGCTTTTTGCAAACGTCTCTAAACGGTTAGTGACTTATTGTCAGAGGCCAAGATGGAATAGCATTCGACTTAGACTAATGTTTAATTTACGTAATTCTACTCACCTATGGTCGCCATGCAAGCTCCTAAAAGCATTAGCAGTAGCCCAATTCCGAGAGCTTTGCAGGCGTGCCACAAGCACCGCGTTGTCACCTTGCCTCTCACCACCTGTTCGATTTAATTGCCGTCGTTAACAGGTAATAAATCTGGACAATATAGTCCAGTTGTTTACCCAGTAGTAAACGTTCATACGTTCAGCGTTTTCATGGCGCCATTAAATATCGATTAGTATGATTTACGATGTTACATTACGGTGTAACGGCATAGTAACGTTTTTCGGTGCTGGTAACCACGAGCGACGTATTCTTATGTAGTATTTATCTAAATTATTGCATAGTGATAGCATATAATGCTAGGATAATTAATTTTGTTATAGACTAATTAGAAAAAAAATTGTTTCTACAAGTATGTGTCATTGAAAATATAGTTTCTATATAGGTATATTTACAGAATTGTGTGCAGATATCATTAGCAGAGAGCGATATTATAGTAATCCCTTTCATCAGCAATAATACAATAATTGTAGCTTGCTACAATAATTATAGTTTGCTTTTATTCACGTGTAATCTGCGTATACTTCCGCTAAGGCGGATTCTGCGTCGGAAGTAATTTCTGCAGGCGAAATTTGTAAACGTGCTAGAGATGATTAAAATACGGATATGTTGTATCTATGTACATGCTCTCTACATATGCACATTTTATTGGAGTTTCTCTTTTTTTCTCTCCCTACGGCTGATATTCTTATTGATAATCTACTCCCTAATAATTACACTAACGAGACTGATAAAAAGAAAAAAAGCTTTTGTGATACAGTATATGTATAATCACTGTGATCAATACTTTAAATTTTTGTAAGTGATGAAAATATAGGTACCTGCACGTTCCAATTAGCCCCAGGCCCGCAGGCTCTTCTCTGCGTCCCCTGCCATTGAATGCTTCCTTGTGGCATCCTGTGTGCTCATAAAAACAAATGTTTTATTATAATATTGCAACGCAGAAGCAAAAAGGAAATTTAAGATTTCAAATTTTGATACATAGATATAATTATAATATATCTATTACATCGTGGAAACAAAATTAATATAAATTATATTTCAAATTTTAACGAAAACTACGAATTATTAATAGTTATTAAAATATTAGTTATATACAATAAAAATATTAGTACTTTTGCCATAAAATGAGCTATTGAAATGTTAAACATGCTACTGCAATATTAATATTGTTCGTTGATATTTCAAAAATTTTTTAATATAGCAATGGCTATATTAAATATAGCAATCAAACAACAAGTCATACTTTTCATTCTTTTACACAAATTCAAGTGATTTTCGATAGCTGATATTCCGTTTATATGTCAGTTTTCATAAAAAATTCTTTTGGTTAGCGTACATTTATGAGAAGTCTAGAAAATAAGAAAAATAATTATCTCTAATTTTACATATATTCTAATAATTCGTTAATAAGAATTCGCTTTAATCAATTATAACTTTATTTATCATAATTTAATAGTAGGTATTTATAATGTGATAAAATATTTGATTTGCTAGTTTAAAATTTATTATATGATTTTTCTTTTTCGAGATATAAATACAATTTGGAAATAACCATTATGTATTTTTTTTGTCAATTTCAATCACTTATGATTCTATTATATAGATATAAATACAGTAAGTACAAAAACACCTACTTTCTGCATAATAGAAGAAGATGGAATATAATGCTTTTTCATGTATTCCATGGGAAAAGGGTTATTTTCAAATTATATCTCGAAAACAAAAAATTCATTTATTTCGAAAACAAAAAATTCATTCCGAAATGAAACAAAATGTATTTAAAAAAATATTTTCATGGCATTAATAAAATTTAGATAAAGAATTTACTATGGATGTTAACTCTCTCATTGAAGACTCTCTTATGTAAACTCTTAAAATCGTAGTTTTTAGCTTCTTTGATGTCATTTTTTCTTAAAATTGTAACATAGCCATTTGATCATCAAATTTGAAAATGAATTCGTGTTCAGTATCTAAAAAACTACGAGAAACAATAAAATCCATTTAGACAATGATCTAAAAGTGCAAATTCGCTAGTGTTATTGTACTATAGAAAGCATTATATCATTTCTTAAAATAAATACAAGTTAATAATAGGAACGATTAATCTTATCTTACGATGAATATAAAGTATTATTGATATAAAATATTATAAGTCCATCTATTTTTATGTATTTATTTGATATATTGATTATAGCTTTAAGATAACGATATTCTGTAAGAAATTTTAGAAGCCTTTATAAAAAATCAATAGTCGACCTTTGTATTAAAAATTTCATATATTTATATATTCATGATGTCTGATAAACTTTTTTAATTTCGATTTTAATTAGTAATAATAATATAGAGCAATAGCAGTAAAAATGAAAGACTCTTTACAAACTTAAAGGCTACATAAATTTCTGATTTATATCTTGATTTTTTAATATTTTGGTTTCTTAATTGGGACTAATGTCTATTTGTGTCAATGTGTAGATTAATTTTAATCTCGGTTTGATTTACTCTGCATCTTTTTTTAATTCTTAGAACTGGAAAAAGATAAAAAGGAAATTAAACCGAGATTAAAGTTAATCTATCATAGAAGTAGACATAAATCTATCTGGGGACACATTAAATCGCTGGACATTAAAGTTTATTATGCTGCTTACCCTCACGTTTTCCAAATCCTTAGGCCTCAGAAACATACGATCCCAGATTCTGTAAATGTTTCCAATTAAGTATTAAAAATATAGAAGAAAAGGATGAAATTATTAAAAAAAGATTATAAGGCACGAACGAATATTTTGACACACATACGAATTACAATGTAAAAGAAAGAGATAGAGTTCAAAATTTGTATTTATTTTTATTTATTAGTTTGGTCAAATGAAAAAGTGGCAAGCGTTGTAGAAATTTCTTCCGGCATGATATCAAAAAGTCTGTTATGCATATTTGATGTTGACTGTGCGATATCACGATCACGTATGCATGACTTGCGTGTGACGTCACGTATCTTTGAACAGTCGAAACGTTGATAACGAACGTAGTTGTATTTTACGTCCAATTCACTCGTTAAGCGGAGAAATGGCGTTTTGTCTGGAAAATTCGTCTGATGAAGAACAACGTGTGATGATACGTTTTTTAATCGCTGAAAACAACATGCCGTTTGGCATTCATTATAGAATGATTGCGGTGTATAGTGAAGATTGTATGCCACGAAATGAATGTCGGTATTGTGTTTTACAATTAGTTAGAAAACGTATCACGCACGTTATTCTTTATCAAATGATTTTTTCAGTCGAAATATTATATCTTCGTTTAACGAGTGAACTGGATGGTAAATCTTGAAACACAACAGGTGTAAGCTTTAAGCCGTAAGATATTGGCCAATCTGTCGAATATGAGGAGAATAATCGATCGTGATTGAGATTTCTTACGTCTTAAGACTTACTAGACTTATTATGTTTCCATCTACATCGTTGGAAAATTTGTATCAAATAACATATTTCACGTGTCTCAAGTTGTCCACTCAAATTTATGTATTAATGTAACACATGATGAATATGTTAAAAGGTAACACAAACATCATTTAAAAAGATAAACACAAACAAGATAATACTGCCACAGTTTGTAAACAAACCATGGAAGCATATTTTTTCAGTAAAATTAACGTTTATAATATGTTAATTTAACACATATTTTATTCATTTATTTTAGAATTTAAAATAAATATGTTTTAAAACATTATTTTTTAAACATGTTATTTGTTCATTTAATCATAAAATATATATTATTTTGACATTAACAAATGTTGGATATCAATTTAATATAAATTATTTAAATAATATAATCACATTATGTTAAAATAGCACTCGAATATATTAAAAAGTTCGACACAAAATATTAAGGTGGTTCTTTAGTAAAGGGCCGAAAATTTGAGGTGCCTCACCAGGGCCCATCCAAAATTACAAATATCTGCATAATTTGGATGAAATATTAAAACTACGTGTATATCTTAATGAAATAGTATGGAGCATACGATAGTAAATCAAAAGCTGCATCTTCATCGAATGAAAACAAGATGAGATTATGTTTACTTTTCGAGATTAAATTTATCTTTCCAGAATAGCCGTTGACCTATTACTTTTTTGTGACCATTAAAGTCATAATTTTTCAAACTATTATAATATCGTTTTTAAGAAAAGTCTATGGTAAGATTTGTGTGTAGTTAGTCAAAGAAGCGTCTGCAAGTCTTATCTGTTACCAAGTTATACGTGAAAGATTACATTTTCAACATTTTTTTCTCTCTTATTTCGCTCTTATTTTTTTCTCTCGTTAATCTATCGTAGAATTTTGCACACGTCAATTTCGATACTTCAACTTCATTATATATATATATAAAAAATAATAGATATTTCTATAGTAACTCGATTTACTAAAGAACTTAACAAGGACTTGAGTGACCATTTTCAACAAAAATACAAAATGTTTTTTACTATGTAACAGCGAATTCATTGTATTCAGTGTATACTGGTGCATATATAGTCGTGCATAAATTGATGTAAGGATGTATGTTTAAATATATATAAATATGGAAACAAGTTAAACTATGAAATCCTCATGAATACATTTTATTGTGTTGTTAAGCAAAATATGTATTTTATAATTCAAAATACTTGCATTTTACTTTTATACTCAGATTAAATCAGTGTATAAGAGCTTTAATATACAACAGTAATTAGTGCTTCAATCAAATTTGCTATAAAACATCTAATTGTGCTCATTATCAACGCTTTTTGTCCAAGGATCGTGATGTTACACGCAAGCTATGCACACGTGACATCCTGTATGTAGCCAACATCAAATAATGCGTAACAAATTTTTTTGTATCGTGTTGGGAGGATGCTGGGAGGGTCTAGGTTTTTAGGCAGCATTATGCTGATACCTCGCCTTTTTTTGGTAATCCTTTGCTAATTAGTGTCTTCTGTCTCATTCTGCAATAGTTTTGTACTGTACATCAATAAAGTTATTATTATTATTATTATTGTTACAATGCTCATCATCTTTTCATTTGACTAAAAAATCTAATACATTCTTTTTTTCAATCGACACTCGAAGAAATGTTTTGCGAATGAAAGAATGTAATAATGTTGCTAGTTCGTTAATTAGCAACTCGCGGTATTAGGTATTATGTACGATCTCTAGCGTCAACGTTTTGTCGCGCAGCATCGTTCGTGACGTCGTTTTAATTTGACGTTCGAGCACAACGAATACATCGGGTGCGCTTTTCAACACACCGACATTCACTCGTACACCACACGTGTCTAGTCACGCATACGTCACTCGGAACTGGGAACAATGTGTATGTGAAAATTATCTGACTGACGTCGTCAGTGTGCATTGCTCTCGTATATAGCGAATGCGGTAGAAGTGCATTGTTCATGCGCCTGTACCTCCCTGTATTTCGTCTTTCAACGTCGAAACTTCTTGCACGTTCTATCGATTCAAATCCCTCTTTACAGTTGCAGCACCTTCTTTAACGTTTCGAAAGTTGGTCATTTTCACCTGACAAACTCTCTTGGTGGTTGTAAGCTTCTCTTTCAAATCTTCATCAAGATTCCTGCACTAATGCTGAAGTACCTGTATTTGTGCCTGTATTCCTAAATCTGCTTTTCTCGTCGATGAAATCGTTTGACGAAAACTTGATTAAATATTCTTTTTGATAAAATAAGAAGGGGATTGCGCGGTACAAAAATCGAGTAATAATGGATGTTTTAACAAAGAGTATTCTTATAATTTACACAAAGAAATCAATATGTTTCAAGTCTACTTAAAGCGGCGTCTACAGTGACATTTTAAAGCGTAAAACTTAAGCTTTAAATCTTAAGCCGTAAGAAATTGACCAATCACAGTCGAACATATAGAGAATAATTGATGTCAATTTCTTACGCTCACAAACAATACGTGTAGTAAGCTTTAAAATATCTATTATCACTCGATTTTTGGGCCGCTATTTCTCTTATCTTGCTTTGCAAATTTACGAGTGAAAACATTAACTATTTGCTTTTCAAATAGCCCTTTTTTCATAAAAAAATGAATTAAAAAATTGACATTTACAGTAGAAATCTGCTTCTCTGCGGAAAGAATCACGCAAAAAAAAAAATGAAATATATTTTTATGCAAAAAAAAAAAAAGAATAAACAAATATAGATAGAAAAAATAAAATGATTCCATGAAATGCAATTTAACTAAACCACAATTTAATTAAAAACAATCGAGACGGTCACGTATGCGATGTTTTCTATTAGCGATGGTGGAGATCTGCGTATCGTTCGCGTTAGATACAACACGAAATCTCGTGCAGGATGATGAATAGTCGAGATTTAACGATACAGCTCACAATCGTTCTTGTTCCTTGTCTATCCAAAAGCACGTGCACAAGTCTACTTAAGTTGCATGTTACGAACTCCACTCTGCTATTTCAGAACGATTCGATCCGACGGGCTTCCGAGAAACTGCTTTCCGCCGGATTGCTTCTCGCACTTCATTCCGTACAGTATAGCGCCCAATTCAGGAGAACGTTCCACGTTATGGCGTTTCAAGACCTTAAATTGAATTGATCTATCTATATAACGTGCAAGATTATTACTATAGATCGCTCACTAGCGATAATGCTGGTCAATATCGCAAATCTTTCCATTTAAAAATATCGCGCACTCTTTTTCCTTATAAGTGAAATAAATTTATAAGATTCCTTCCTATCCTGATAAATACAAATTAAAGATTTTTCTTAAAGAAAATTTGTTGAGAGATTTTTCATTCAAAATTGAAATTCTTTTATAGAACTGGGAATTGTATAAATACAGAACAGGAAATTGTATATAAATACAGAATGGATTTATCGCGCAACTTTCTTGCATCGTAAACAGTAAAGTTCGAACTTAGAAAAACCAAGTTTCAAAGAGAGTTATAAACGCCTGAAAATAAAAAGATTTGGAAGAATTAAACTTCCATAGTGTATATAGATAACTATAACTTATAACTGATTTTTAGTAGACTTAAATCAAATTTGAGATTCATGTATATATCATAACTAAAAAAGTAGATGTCTACTATTAATTCTCTTTATCATCTGACGAGATCTCCTATGAAAGAACTCCTCACTAATTACATGAAAAAAGTGGTTTCGGTTAAATCGGTAAGTATGATATTTTAATTACATTCCACATGACGCTCGCAGTGCTCTTAGAATTATTTCATCCTTATTGTTTATCAAACAAAGGCAAATAATGTTTGCGAGCATTGTGAACGTCAAGTGGAACGCACCTTTTGTAAATTATGAAGTGTTAATCAATATTTCCATACACACACTGCAAAAAAGATACTTAAAAATTTATGTGTAAAATAGATATGTATATAATGTTTATTTCACTAATAAATCCTTATTTAAATACGGTGAAATAATTTTATTATTAAATGAACCATTTTTTTTACAATTAATGGAATATATTTTACAGAAATATTATATTTCTAGTATATTTTGTCATCACAGTCAAATTTTTTATAACCAATAAATATCAAAGAAAAGGTCACATGTTATATTTACTTGCGAATATTTCAACTTTTTTTTCAGTGCAGGCGTAATCATAAAAAAATGGATTGATTTTGAACGATTTAAAAGTTGTTATTTTGAGTTTAATCTGACTGAAAAATTTATT